AGCTACATGACATTAGCTGTCCCCGGCATAGTTGGATAGTGGAGGTGCCTGCTAGAAAAATATGTTTAAATGCATGTATTTGCACATGTGTTGTAAAGACAGTCTTCAACACAGAGTTGTAATAGTGGCTAAAGGGCATCGGTGATGGAGTGGAACAAATATGTGGAACTGGAGTTTTTCCAGAGGATTTGACTGGCCAGTGGGGACCACCCAATGTCCCACTCTGAATCAGAAATACTTCATTGATCTCCGGGGGAAATTGGGATTGTTACATTGTAGAATTAAAATATATAGTAGAAGATATAAGAAAAACAAGTATGTCAAAATATGTGCATAATATAACAATATGCACAGTATAAATGCATAATGTATGCCAGAGTATTGCTCAGATTCATTATTATTGCATATAGAGTAATGCACAGATGAATTATTATTACATAGAGTATTGCACAGATGAATTATTATTGCATAGAGTATTGCTCAGATTCATTATTATTGCATATAGAGTATTGCACAGATGAATTATTATTACATAGAGTATTGCTCAGATGAATTATTATAGCATAGAGTATTGCACAGATGAATTATTATTGCATAGAGTATTGCTCAGATGAATTATTATTACATAGAGTATTGCACAGATGAATTATTATTGCATAGAGTATTGCTCAGATTCATTATTATTGCATATAGAGTATTGCACAGATGAATTATTATTACATAGAGTATTGCTCAGATGAATTATTATTGCATAGAGTATTGCACAGATGAATTATTATTACATAGAGTAATGCACAGATGAATTATTATTGCATAGAGTATTGCTCAGATTCATTATTATTGCATATAGAGTAAAGCACAGATGAATTATTATTACATAGAGTATTGCTCAGATGAATTATTATTGCATATAGAGTAATGCACAGATGAATTATTATTACATATAGAGTATTGCACAGATGAATTATTATTGCATAGAGTATTGCACAGATGAATTATTATTGCATAGAGTATTGCTCAGATTCATTATTATTGCATATAGAGTAATGCACAGATGAATTATTATTACATAGAGTATTGCTCAGATTCATTATTATTGCATATAGAGTAATGCACAGATGAATTATTATTACATATAGAGTATTGCACAGATGAATTATTATTGCATAGAGTATTGCACAGATGAATTATTATTGCATAGAGTAATGCACAGATGAATTATTATTACATAGAGTATTGCTCAGATTCATTATTATTGCATATAGAGTAATGCACAGATGAATTATTATTACATAGAGTATTGCTCAGATGAATTATTATTACATAGAGTATTGCACAGATGAATTATTATTGCATAGAGTAATGCACAGATGTTACTGTTATTCTAAATAATCCTAATCAAGTTTTTATTTTTCCTGTTTTACAGCTTCATTACAACGCTTACTATCACCAACACACACATATCCACACACACACACATATAAAACCAACGGCACTTTTAAGAGCCACTCTCTCTCTCACTGTCTCTCTTTCTATCACTCTCTCACTTTCTCTTTCAATCACTCTCTCTCACTTTCTCTTTCAATCACTCTCTCACTCCTACAAATGGCTGGAGGGTCACAAAAAAAGACCTGCCCAAACTGTAGAGAAAGTATTTACTGTGGAAATAAAATCTGCCCACTATGTAAACATCCACAGCCAAACAATGTGAGACTCAAAAAGAAAATGGACAAATTCCAAAGCCAGCAGAAGCAGTGGTTGTCATCCATGACTAAAAACAGAATCAAGTCCCACGTTCTTGATGACGCCGCCCTTCTGGTATGTAGTTTACAGAATTATCTCATTCACCAAAATTGTGAAAAGTAGTTTTATTACATTGACAGAGGATTATAAATTAACTGGTATTGCTTCACATCCACAGTATTAATTGTATCATTAATGAGAATATAATTCATGATTAATGATTTTCAAACAGAATTAACTATTATGTGTAGGAAGTTTAGGAAGTGTCTCATAAGTTAAAAATCCCAAATGTATCCAACAAAACATTATGAACAAATCATTGTTTCTATTATGATGCCAGGATATTAGGATACATTCAAATGTAAACAACAGTTTTGTGTATTTATTTAATTGATCTCTCTACCTCTCAACAATTATTTTCCCAGCTGGAGAAGTTGCATGCCCTTGGCTTGAAGCCCCTGCTGCTGCTGGCGTATCCCCCTACCAAGAGGGTGCCACGGACACCTAAAATGAAGGTTTTGATGCCCATGCATGCCCAGCTTAGCACATCAGCCAAGACATGCCTCGGCAATGTGGAGGCCATTTTCAAGCTGATGGTTGCAGGTGAGATTGCATTTATTTAATAACCATCTGCACGAGTCACTCATGCATATATTGACTATCTGTTATACAATGTGTGGTGTTGATTTGTCCTGTTTATTTCAAAGCAACAAAGAGAGTCATTTTAAAGAGCTGGGGTCTCATTTATAACTGTTATGTATGCACAAAACAGGGCTTGAAAGAGGTGTATGCCACTTCCCATGCAAAAGTTGTAATCTATATATTTTTTTTAATTGACAGAAGATTATGATGACAGGGGAAATTGTCTATGCAGATGGTGAGGTGATGAATTGAAGCCAGATTGTAGAAATACATGTTATAAGCATCATTATACATATAATAAAGCCTCTCACATATTTAATTTCAGTTAATATCACACGTTTCTTAAAGATCCTACATTCAAACCATCAGTGTTATTTGTGCATATGCTTGTGAGCCATAACTAATTCCATAAGCATCTTTCAATTGTAAAAGAAGTAAGCCAACTCAAATCTCAAATCAAATTCCACTTAGTATTTCATCAGCACTGTCTCGCCATCACATTCCCCACCATCGGAGCGCAGAGGAGATGGTCGAAACAGTATAGTACTGACACTCGTGGTCAGTTGTGGAGCGCACCACAGCTGATGAAAAAAATCCAAGATAACATGAAATAGCAGTAAACAATAGCAGAACAGATGCAAGTACCAGACTGTGTCTCCAATGCGTTCTGTGGTGCACAAAGAGCGCACTGAAGACACTGCGGCCCCCACACACGTCTTCTCAAGTGACCTCACCCAGCACATCTTTCTCACCTACACATATGGATAGCAAAGTCTAGAAATAAAGCCAGTGACAGCTCTCGCACAATCTCACATATGAGTCCTAATTATATTGCAGGCCAAAACTTAAATAAATACATTTTGTTCACTTATCAAACTTCCATTTTCCAATGATAACCCAGTGTGGGGGATACCATTGAGTTTTGCAAATATTGAAGCGATCAGTTTGATTGCTGTAAACATTTAATTACTGTATGATACTCGTAATGCTGCATGGTGGACCACTGGCACTGCTAGGACCCCCTGCATGTAAGAATTAAGAGGGGACAAGTGTTCTGGGACATCCTCCATCACAATCAGAGTCACAGTCACACAATCAGAAAAAAAAATTGTTTTCTTCTTCAAATAAATTGCGCTGAGCAGTGTGAACAACCCTCAGCTTCTCTGACTCCTCTGCCCTGATGCCAAGCAGATACCTGTGGGTGACATCATACTCAATCAATCTTTTTTTTACAGTTTAGGTTGATTAGGGTTGCCTTTTTTTGCATGTTTTGCACATTGGCCTAATTTCATATTTTATAATGTATGTGTGTGTATTCCATGTTCCTGTTTTCAAACATTCAATATTCAAAGGTGTTATTGTCATATGCACAGCTACAGCGTAGTTGTTGGCAATGACAATCTTAACTCCCAGGCTCCTCCAACAATGCAGCATACAAATAGTACAAGAAGAAATAAAATAGTGCAAGAAGAAACTAGTCCAACAATGTAGGTGCAAAACTAACATGCAGGAATAAGTCAAATATATACTTATAAAATAGAATAAGATAAGACAGAAAGTAAAATGAAATACTAATATGGGGAGGCATGAATGAAAAGGTTGTATAAACAGATGTGGATATGTATAAATATATTATATATGAACAGATAACTAACCAATGCAACATTATGGTATTATACATAATAAATAAATAAATAAATATGTGGGCTTTTAAACAGATTTGTACTACAAATCCTTTGTAGGTTGGACAAGACTCAACCCAGACCAAGAGGAGAACCCTGACACACCAACACCACCCCAAGACCCACCCAACCAACTGCCCGATGGAAGCTACATCTTAAATTTGGTGCCATGTGATCCATCACCCATCACCCATAACCAGCAACCACAGGAAACAGCAGATCCACCACCACACCAGGCTCCAAGTACCCACCCACCACCACACCAGGCTCCAAGCACCCACCCACCACCACACCAGGCTCCAAGCACCCACCCACCACCAAACCAGGCTCCAAGCACCCACCCACCACCACACCAGGCTCCAAGCACCCACCCACCACCAAACCAGGCTCCAAGCACCCACCCACCACCAAACCAGGCTCCAAGCACCCACCCACCACCAAACCAGGCTCCCAGCACCCACCCACCACCACACCAGGCTCCAAGCACCCACCCACCACCAAACCAGGCTCCAAGCACCCACCCACCACCACACCAGGCTCCAAGCACCCACCCACCACCAAACCAGGCTCCAAGCACCCACCCACCACCAAACCAGGCTCCAAGCACCCACCCACCACCAAACCAGGCTCCCAACACCCACCCACCACCACACCAGGCTCCAAGCACCCACCCACCACCAAACCAGGCTCCCAGCACCCACCCACCACCAAACCAGGCTCCCAGCACCCACCCACCACCAAACCAGGCTCCCAACACCCACCCACCACCACACCAGGCTCCAAGCACCCACCCACCACCAAACCAGGCTCCCAGCACCCACCCACCACCACACCAGGCTCCCAGCACCCACCCACCACCAAACCAGGCTCCCAGCACCCACCCACCACCACACCAGGCTCCAAGCACCCACCCACCACCAAACCAGGCTCCCAGCACCCACCCACCACCACACCAGGCTTCCAGCACCCACCCACCACCACACCAGGTTCAAATTATGCTGGAACCATCACGCCAAATCCCACCAATGCGGCAGCCACGTAAAAGAGACAAAACAATGAAAGGTATGTTTAGCTTGTCTTCTACTCACATTTAGATGCCACATAAGCATCAGTAAGTTAATGTTGCGATTTTTGTAGACCAAACATGGATTTATTAAAGGCCGGACTCATATTTGCCTTCAAATGTTATGCATGGATGCTAAATTAATGTTTCGCACACATGCACATTTTGGAGTTAAAACAAAGACACAACAGAGTAACCTGTATGTATGTTGTCTGATAAGCTGGAGTCACATTCATTAAAACCTTTCTATACTTTATCATTTAATAGAAAGCTTGCACATCCTTGCTTAATGTAATATAGTGCTACAGAGCCCAATTCCCAGTGTAATGAATATAAGACTAAAACATATCCACTCAGTAGCAAGCAATGTAAGATGTAATCAGTCCATTAGCAGACACAGCAACATCCCGAAGGAATGGCAGAGAAGCTAAGATTTTGAATAAAACCATGTGTAGACTCGTAAACTTCTGTGATTTCTCAGTAGGAAACACTAAATGTGCTTATGTCACACAGTGGAAATGTTTGTGCATTCTGAGTTGAGCCCTATACAAAACGTACTTTACCTGTTCTGCACATTTGTGCAAATAATGTATTCCATACAATTACAGATTGCTCTCACAACCATCTCGAGGTGTTCCCTGTCCGCAAAATAATAAAGACAAGGAACCGAAAGGTAGGATAATGATTACCTGGATGACAGTGTTTGCTGTTGGATAACTTTTCTGAATTTGTATAGCTATTACTTTATCTTACCTTGAAGGAATGCTGTTGTCCAAGTCACAATATTAAGCTATTTGTGTAAACATCCTGTAAATCCCTCTAGTCGGTCAGATGTCTTTTTTCATGACTATTTTTTTTAATATATGCAAACTATTTGAACAATACATATATTATAAGTACTTGTGAAAGTACAAAGTTCAAATAACATACAGATGTACAATGTCTTTGTCTGCCTGCCACAGGGGGGGACGGAGCACCTTTATGACTGGGAGCCCTGCACCATTTGGTATGTTAATTTGCTTTTGTACAATTACATCTATGTGTGCTGTTAACATTTGTGGTAATTGTTGGCACGCCATTATCTTAGGTGGCATTTGTTAAAGAAAAATGCAAAAAGTTCTGCTGTCTGTAGCACCAGCTATACACAAGTTATTTTAAATGTGCGAAGTCCACACTAAACGATAAATTGAAACTAGGTAGTTTATTTAATTAAAGCTGTGTCAATATTTGATTACACCACAGAGACACCAGGTTCACGTTAGCTACTCTGGCGTTAAGTCCACACTTACTAAAGTATTAGTAAATAATCACCAAACAACAACAGAAATGTAAAGGAACTAGGAGAAAGAATTATGATTAGACATTAATCTACAGATAGTGCAAATTAACAACAGTGACAATCACGTGGTGAAACCGTAAACTACAACAAAGGGTAATATATCAGTACCCTATTATTGGGCAGATAAAATTGTAACGTAACAAACGCATCATGATATAATTTCCCCCAAGGGGATCTATAGACTGTTTCTTATCTATCAAATGCTATTTTATCCCTTATCTTGGAATACAATGTGCCTGTTGGAGTAGTTATTATTCACTTGAAATGTTCTGCTGTAAGGCTCTAGGGATGCAATGATTTTACATTTTGATGCCATGATAATAGTCTGAGGAAACATCACCTTTGTCAGGGTTTTACAACTATTACACTAAGGATGGATGAATGTGTACTTATAATTAGAGGTTTTATAGGATTTTTCCACAACATTTTGGCATTTTCAGCTGCTGTGCCTATTTACCTTTATTAACACGATTAACCAGTTTTCCATATTTTCCAATGAGCAACAGTTGCAGTAAGGAACCTTAACGTACCATAATGTAGTTGTAGAGAGTGAGAACAAAAACACTCAGTGTAGCTGAACTGTTAAAAGTGACATTGGTTAATCGCTGCATCCATACACTGGAATACCAAATACTTCATACAACACTGCACTTGTCTTCAAACGTTTCTAAAACAGTATCACAATTTTAAAGTAGCCTAATGAAAATCAATTGAATGTGTATTACTGCTCACTAATTCTTCTTCACCCTCCCTTTATTTTCTTTTTTTCTCAGTGGTATGTCCTGGCCTCCATCCTGGCAAGCAGCCTGATTCCCACCCCATGCAAATCCCATTGCCAAACAAAACAATAAATGTTTTGGTGTTTGTATGGAATTAATAAAGTGCAACAGTTTAACAACTGCAACAGACTTAACATTTTTTTGACTTGAAGGATTGTTGCATTGTTTTATGGCCACTGGCAATTAATTTCACAGGTGAATTGCATATTGATGTAAAATGAAGCTCAGCGCAAGTTCTTTCAGGAAGACTGGGTATATATATATACATTCACTCCGCTACCTGCATAATATACACCTAACCCTAATTTATTTCAGTTACCAAACACACTTTTTCCGAAGATTGGTGTTAAAAATATCAAAACAATATATGTGTGGATAACAAAATACATCCATCATAAACTAAACTGGAAACAGCAGTATAATTTCTCTTGTTAACACTTGCAAGTTGACCGTTTTTTTAACCCTAGTGGTTAAAGTACGTTATTGATTTTTTGTTGTTGAATTATCTTATATTTGATGAAAACATACAAATATTAAGAGTACATACATAGGGGGAAAGTAGAAGGTCAATCATAGAAATAAAGATGAAAATATCAAGAAGATACTGTAGTGATCTCTACAATAACACAGTGGAGTGCAGGACACCCAAAGATATTAATAGGAGGATGTGCAAATCAGACAAACTAATTAGGCTTTATTTAAACATGAAAGAATACTTTAGGTTAAGGTCTTCTTTTAAATAAGATAAAAGATCTGACAAAGTCTGACAAAGTACTTAACGTTTAATATATTGCATAGTTTGTTTTGGGACTTGACAATCAACTTTCCTGCAATGTTAACTATGTTGAAGCACTTATTTTAACTGATATTATACATATGTATTATACTCTTATAAGATGTATGTAGATAGAATAAGAAATGTGCAGAATATGGTGGAGGTACACAAATATCGATAGATGGCTTGTAATGCACTGTTGAGGAACCTGTGACCCAAGTTTTTAATCTCTGACCTTTTTCATCTCCGACCTTGTCAGGTATTGAACATTCAATAAATGAGGAACAGAGAATTATTCAATATAAAACACAGAATATGTGTGATTATACTAAATGATTTACAAATAAACACCACTGCATATTTACAACTGTTACACATGCTGTTGTAACGAAAAAATTGCCCCGCGTGGGATCAATAAAGTATATCTTATATTAAGATGATCGATGGTTACTGCCATATTTGAAAAATGTGCCTCTGAACCTTGACAAGTGCATGTTTCAGGCTTATCAATTAACAACAGGAGGGGTCACAGACATAAGACCAGCTGTTAAATAAAGCTCTTCTGACCTTAGCTGTCATGTGGGTATACTGCTGCCCATTATGGACACAAGTCATTTTCACCCATTTATTAATTATATGTTTTAAATGTGATAACACCACTGTATTTCGTATCCCCTAAACCTCCAGGGGTGTACACAGTTTAATACTGGCAACTTCTAATTATGGGAAATACGAAAACGTATTTTAAAACTACAATTCCCGTAGAGACGTGCCAGAGAACATGTTGCGAAACACACAATAGTCAGCATGTGTAGTTCTGGGGACGGGGTGGGGTGTACCCGTCCGACTCCAGTTTTGGATAGTGTGCCGTGGTTCCATTCCATTTCAATGTGCTGTTTGACGCTCGGCGTAACCCTCGGCGCACTGCCACTCCAACATCCAATCACAGAGCTTGAGGACTAATCACGGGGTTTGAGCAAAGAAGAGAGAATACTTACTTCCGGGTGTAAAATTCTCTAAAGCAACTACTATGAGCTGCTCCGACCCTCGGTCCTGACGGACTCCAAAAGTCCGACATTATACAATCAAACAAATAAACACAACGATAATTGTGTGTTATTGTTGAGTAAATAACACTGTGTGGTTTAGAAAATAATACAAAATTAGAAGTACGAGTTGGGAATGAGAATGTGTTGGTATTTACCCTGCATTATGCACATGTTACTAATAAAGGATTATGTTATTGTATGAACTCCATTTACAATGTATTCACATTAATAGTTCATAATCAACGAATGACTAAATGCAGTGACAAGAAAACAACCATTGTATAGCACTTGTTTGAGTAATAAGAGGCAGTTTAATATAAAGGCAAGGCAATTTATTTTCATACACATCAGCAAGTCAAAGCGCTTTAAATAAACGGAAGTACAAAATATAAACACATTTTCACATTACTATGAACTCAGTCGGGCGAAACAAGTGCATAGTTTCATATTGTTCTCATATATAGTGTTTTATAATGTCTTTATTTTGTATGGCTTTAAGTGTGTTTTAAATGTGTTTTGTCATTATTATGGCGTGCGCCAGCGTGTGGACGTGACACGTCGCTTGTGAAAGAGCTCTCCAGTGCCTCTGTATTGCTTGGCAGAAACCTTTACAGGTCTTCTTCCTCAGACTCAGGGCTAGTGTAGTCATTGTCATCCGACTCCTCAATGTCCGGCTGTAAATGAAGATCATGGCATTCCATAGCGGCTACACCGCTGTACGCATGTACAGCCTGTTTGTGTTGGCTTTTGAGGAAGTGCCACCTCCGACTGAGGACACTCTTGAGCCCATGTGCAGCATCCTCTGTCAGGTCACCGAAATCTGTAGAGGAATAATCACACAGCAAAAGGGCTCAATGTAAACAAACCATGACAATTGCAAATCTCTTTGCATTGTACAATGCTGCATATGTAAAAACACTACAAAATAGGTAAATCCATCTTAAACTGAAGGATGTTACTATATATTGGGTGCCAAATGGGACATGTTGATTAATGTTTGATATAGTGATTAACAATTAGTCAATAGACAGAAAATAATCGATTATGATCTTGATAATGAATAGTTTCAGTAATTTACTATTTCACTTCGACTTGACACAGTGACAGATGTGTTCTACTTATGTAAGACATGCAATGTGTTGAAGAGTGGATGAAAATATTCAAATGTTAAGATCTCAGACATACTGCTGGTTTTGATGCCCTCCAAAGTCTGTCCTCTGAGTGCTTCCACTTCTTGCACTTCCTTCAGAAGGAACATGATGTGCTGCGACATCTCTCTCACCAGGATGCTCTGCTCCTCCTCCAAACGTTTGACCAGCATTACCTGGTCAAAGACAGACCTCTTCAACCTGAAGGTGTTGCCTTTAGGTTGAGGAAAGGAATGGAGTAGTGGACAAGGAATATTTATTCATATATTAGATTATTACAGAATGATTTTAATTTCTGAGACACAAATCTTTGTAGCGATAGCATTGGTTCTCTATAATGTAAACAAATAACAAATATTATATATTTGCAGGTATCACCATTGCTTTTTCTGCCCCACGATAAACTGTCATATTTTGGTATAGACTAAAAAAACAACAAGCCAAACTAGCAATTATCCTACCATGTTCATGCCTCTCCCATGGTAGGATGTAGCCCTCTGTCAGACTGCAAGCCAACTCCTCATCAATCTGTTCTTCCTGCACTCCGGTGTTGTATTGCACAACTTTTTCGCGAAGCTTCTTCTTCAGCTCTCTCATTCTCTTCCTCTTTCTTTGCCTTGCCTGGTTGCTGTCTGCAAAGTGAAACGGAAACAAAACTGTGTCATGGTGCCAGAATGTTTTTGTTGTTTTTTAAAGGTAATTTCAATAACTACATTTGACAACAAACCATGCTGACGATACAGATCTTGCTTCTTGCGCAAAAGACTGACGGTGATGTTCTCAATATCCACCCTCAATCCTTCAGTACACCCTGGGGCGTAGACTCTCTCTAAATAGTGCAACAAAACAATTGGAGAAGAGATACAATCAGTGACAGTCTCAGTTTCAACATATAGCCAACTTATATTGTGTACAGTAATTAACAGATGTATATATGGAAAACCTGTGGTATGTCTTACCTGTGACCGCCCATTGCCTGACATCATACACCCACTGCTGTATGGTCTCCTGATCAAGGTTGTGCTCCTTTTTGAAGTCGCTGAAGCTGGCAGCTTCCACCTTTGCCCTCTCTGTGATCTTTACAAAAAAAAGAAAATGTCAGAGCAAAAGCGCCATGCAACACCATAATGCAAAGAACACCAGTTTTCAGTACAAGACCTTCAGAAGAACAGTTGAAACATTACATGACACCATCTGACTTGCAAGAGGAAGTGTGGATAAGGGAGAACATAATGTATATAGCTGTGAGGTTGCATTGCAGACACCCTTCATAAATATGTAATGTCAGATGAGAAGACAATTGTAATTTGCCCTTACTTTGACATATCTGTGGGCTAAAACTTGATGAAGGTTGTCCCTCTTCCTTCTGTTCCAACCCATGGCCTGTTGAGTGAGCATGTTCACTCTTCCTAAAAAAGACAAAAATATATCCACAAATAAAAAAGTAAGTGTTCACATCAAAAAGGCAATACTGAGTGAGAAACATGATAGACATGACTAAACCCAATCGTTAAAAGGTTGTTGAACTGGTAATTACAGTAAAGTAATACACCAATAATGTTTTTAAGGAGGGAACTCTCTGTAAAATACTTATCAGGGTTGCCTTATCACAGTGTGTAGTATTAGTGTAGTGTTAATACCAACCTGCTTTTGTCATGTATTTTGTGACCAGAGCTGCCCTGGAGAGAAAGCTGTTCACCTATAATGAATGTTACAATTAATGTTCGGTCACCATTACATAACAATATTACCTACACATCATAGATCTTGAACTGGGTGGTTTAAGAGAAAACTTGTGTACTGACTTCCTACAATATGCATCCATTTAGTGTTGCTGAACATAAGAACTGCCTATCTTTCATTTGAACTCAGACATAAAGGATATGCTTTAAACTAATCAACAGGCTTGTCACTGAGATGACACATACATATTTGTACTGCTTTCTATTAAGACCTTGTATCCATACAGTTACAATAATGCCATTAATAACATACCTGCTCTACTTCCTCTCCCACTGTGTTTCCTGCTCCGTCCTGACTTCTGCCACCCCATCTCACCTGCAACACAGCGCAAGTAGTGTTATGTAGCATATATATATATATATATGTTCTTTATACGTTTTTGATATCCAATAATGCATGCCATGCACAACATTTAAAAATCCTTTGTATTAAAGATGTTATGTACCTCGCATTTTGCTGTATGGGCTTTAGCATGCATCACGCTAAGAAATGGCCTCATTTCTGTCAACGGCAGAAGCTCTGGTAATCCCTCTGCTATTTTGTTAAGGTATGGCCAGTACCTAAGAAGCAGGAGCAGCATTTTGTGACTGAGTGTTACAAAGATACACTTTTAATTGACATGACAACAATATCAATATCATCTAAAATGACTGCTGAGGCATAGGCCATTTTAAACATTGTTGTGGATGTGCAATATGACAGTGAGGATTACCTGCATGTTACATCCATACAGAAGAAGTCAACATTTGCCTTCTTGGACATCTCTTTTTGGAGAAACATTGGGTAAGCGTATATTTCTCCACGGAAGTGGTTCAGTCCTCGTAAGAGAAACCCATGTCTGATTAATCAGAAGAAAATCTAGTTGTTAATAATAAACTGACACAGCAAGGCCTGGCTTAAGCACTCATCTCTGTCATCTAGGTGGCTATAACAAAAAATAACACTTGGATGCTACAAATGATGGATAAATTCCGCTCCACAATCAAAAGTGTTTAATGCTTCCAATTCTTACAAAGACTTAGACTTGGATTGCTATTAAAACTGAAATAATGAGACCAGACTCAAGAACCAAACACATATACACACACAGACACACTTACAAATACATACCTGCAAACTGCCACTTGAATGCCCTCCTCGTCTATCTGGGCACCAGACTTTTTTGACATCTCTCTGCCAGCGGTGAATTTGGCAGTACCACAGACGGCACTGTCATTTCCCTATAAAGTCAGTTTATTACACACAAGTTTTGACATATATAAAAAAGAACACCACAGGTGTAACTGCAACTATCATAAGAAAAAAAACGTACACTTTTCATGTTGCTTCTGACAAGGTCAACAAATGTTGCGACTTCCTCGTCCTTGGCCAGGAACAAGCCCTCATAGATTGGCGGCTCCTCAGTCCTGTCCATGATAAGTTAACATACAAGTCAATAATAAAAATCACAAAGCACTACATTACTATGATTTGTTTTAATGTCTGTTATGGCTACTCAAAGACAACCCCAAGGGCTACTATTTGTATTAGCGGTGTGTTCTTTATCATTTTCATTAATACCTATACCTACCCTTTTGACTTGGAAAACCGGTAATGCTTGCGGTTTCCATCACAGCAGACAGCCAACATGTCTGGAGAACATGCTGGACAGACAAAGTGATGGACCTGGCACATATCCTCTTGTTTGTACTGACAGAAGCAAAACTCGAAGAAGCTTCGCTGAAATGTATCAGCACAGATACTACCTGTCTGTATATTGATTTAAAAAAAGTGGATTAGTAATTGTTTTGAAAGCAATGACAACAATTAATGATATGGTATACAGTAATATTATATTGTTTTTGGTATGTTTCCGTGTGATTCAGGCAGATTTACCCGTCCAGCTTGAACAGATCTGTGCTCCAACATTTTCAGAAATGCCTGCCTGGACATGGCTGGTGCTGTCACCTTCATGTGCTCGAATGAGGTGAACACATCATATTTGTAAAGCGTCTGGCAGCTGGTGCTAGCTGGCCAGTACCGATACAAAAGCAGGTCTTTAACCTCAGGAGTCCATTCTGCAGAGCAGGATGGACAGGATTTCCGAGGCAAGCAGACATTGTATCGTCCTGTGAACAAATGGACAAAGTAAAGGTATTTCGGTAATCAAACTGTGAGTTTGCCTTAACATATTGTATTTTATACATAGATGTGCATATATGATATATTAGCTATTTCACATGGCATTTGGGTGTTGTCTGAAAATGACCAGGTGATAAAAATCTTTGCGTTGCACAAAGTGGTAAAACTCTGCCGTACAATACTACTTGTACAAAAAGAAGGGCTTTCAGAACAACATACCGTTGATGGTGACCACAGAAATATGCTTCCAAGGAGTAACTGTGACGTCATCAGAGCATTCACAGATTGACCTTGGAGTAGGAACAGGCAGTTGACATACTGCAATATAGAAAATAAGTTAGGAAGGGTGTATTTACAGTTTTTCCTTAATTCTCCAGATTATCAAGATATTCAATAACATTTGGCATAATTTCTACATATCTTGCAGCCCTAGTCAAAACCAATCATACTTTTTTCAATCAGCTATGTACACTTCCCATTCGCACTTAATTTTGGGAACTACACTATAATGGGACATTGTAATGTAATGTTAATCTTTACATACTTTGTTCACAAAACTGAGGCTGGCCATTTTCATCCACCACCACAGCAGTTGTAGGGGGAATGGGCTCCAGAAATCCATTGAACACAGCCTCTCTGTCATGGAAGATATTCCTCTTGTGGGCTTCCATGTCACAGGTTGCACAGAGGAACTACATGTCCAGTGGAACACAGTCCAGGCACCTAATAGCCGCTTCTTCTGCACAGCATCTGTGGCACTTCTGAATGGCTATTCTCTCAGCTGAGAGTTTTGCATTAAAAAGCATTGGCCTAGCCGTTTTCATTCTCACATCTGTGAGAAGCTGCCTTTGTGCCCAGGCAGAAACCGTTCCGTCTGTTGCCTCCGGAACCTGGACTGCAGTTAGGGTGTCCCTTAACTCTTGGAGATGTGTTTCTAAAAAATAAAACAGCTGTTAAGCCACCCTAAAATTGGTATGATGGATATTAAGGTAGTATACTGAACCACTTTTGAGTTGGAAAAATATATGCGGACTAATAATAGCAACATGCTATGAATCATTATATGCATCCAAAGCAATATTAGCAAGTGATACTTATACCAAATATGCATTCACTTGTCATGAAACAGTCAATACTCAATACTTTATTATGATTAACTAGATGAGTATAAAAATGGAAAAATTGGGAAAAACTGTAGTGCCAGTCAACTGCTGTTATAACCAATATACTCACCAAGACTACCAAACTCTTGATGTTCTAGCTGAAGGCCTTCCTCATGCACAGGATCGTCTCTTCTGGCTTGTGAAGCTGCAGAGACAGTCATTTTTGCTTAACCCTTCAATCAATCTAAAATTACACCAATTAATTGTAATATGAAAATGCTCTGTAAGGACTGCAGGTAATGAAACTAAGAACATATTACCACAGCATCACAATGACAATTTACATTTGCCATACTTTTATCCAAATCGAGGTACACATTTTCAAAAATACAACACAAGCAAGGATTATCAGTCACAGGCTCTTAAAATATCTTGATTTAATTTGAAAATGTTTTAAACATTGCAACAGATTTGTCAAGAGGTATTTTTAAATTACATAATTTCATACTGTGTACACCAAAATAACTTTGTTATGAATTAACTTTATTCTTAGACTTAGAAATCATGATATAGTAAAGAACAAACCTGATGCGGAACGTTGTGTTTCCCGTTGTCTCTCACGTCTGCGTGTGACCACTGGATTAGAAAGAGGTCTCTTCCTGCTTTTTCTTTTCTTTTCCGGAGGGATGGCAGGGGTTTCAGTGGCCATGGCAGCCTATATTTTTTCAGAGGTTGAGATCATCAACAAAGTTGTAATACAACATAAGACAGCAGCACTTATATTTTAGCAATTATTTAACGGTTGCATATAAAGGTCTAACTGACCCTTTATATTACATCAATAAAACGCAATAGCAATGATTATATTACAGACTTGGGTATTTGCTTATCATGAAAAGCCTCACCCTGGCCTCGTGGAGATGAGCCGCGCTAATCAATGCTGCCATGTGCATCGTGGCCTCATTGGGATCCTCAAAGACCCTCACTTCAGGGTTGAGGGACATGGCATACAAATAATACAAACAATACAGACACAATATACAAACAATACACAAAATGAAGAGAGTGAGAGAAAGACAGGAGAGTGAGAGTGATTGAAAGAGAAAGTGAGAGTGATAGAAAGAGAGACAGTGAGAGAGAGAGTGGCTCTTAAAAGTGCCGTTGGTTTTATATGTGTGTGTGTGTGGATATGTGTGTGTTGGTGATAGTAAGCGTTGTAATGAAGCTGTAAAACAGGAAAAATAAAAACATGATTAGGATTATTTAGAATAACAGTAACATCTGTGCATTACTCTATGCAATAATAATTCATCTGTGCAATACTCTATGTAATAATAATTCATCTGAGCAATACTCTATGTAATAATAATTCATCTGTGCATTACTCTATATGCAATAATAATGAATCTGAGCAATACTCTATGTAATAATAATTCATCTGTGCAATACTCTATGTAATAATAATTCATCTGTGCATTACTCTATGTAATAATAATTCATCTGTGCAATACTCTATGTAATAATAATTCATCTGTGCATTACTCTATGTAATAATAATTCATCTGTGCAATACTCTATGTAATAATAATTCATCTGTGCAATACTCTATGTAATAATAATTCATCTGTGCATTACTCTATATGCAATAATAATGAATCTGAGCAATACTCTGGCATACATTATGCATTTATACTGTGCATATTGTTATATTATGCACATATTTTTGACATACTTGTTTTTCTTATATCTTCTACTATATATTTTGATTCTACAATGTAACAATCCCAATTTCCCCCGGAGATCAATGAAGTATTTCTGATTCAGAGTGGGACATTGGGTGGTCCCCACTGGCCAGTCAAATCCTCTGGAAAAACTCCAGTTCCACATATTTGTTCCACTCCATCACCGATGCCCTTTAGCCACCATTACAACTCTGTGTTGAAGACTGTCTTTACAACACATGTGCAAATACATGCATTTAAACATATTTTTCTAGCAGGCACCTCCACTATCCAACTATGCCGGGGACAGCTAATGTCATGTAGCTGTATAAACTATAAATGCTATCCAGCTAAAAACTTTGACCGGAAGGCCAAACGCGCAACGCGTAGCCTATTGTAAAAGCTACACACACTACGAAACTCTACAAAACTCAACCTAATATCCAGGAATTAAACGCTATAGAGACTGTGCTACAGTGGAATAAATAAAAGCAATATTATTTCGTGTTTTAAAGAAATAAACTCCCCTTGATTTTAGATACTTACTGTAGTCCGTTGTCAGATGAAATTAATGAAAGTGAGGTGACTGTGGGTAACGTAACGTGGCTACGTCACGTTGCCGTCAAGCGCGACGTAACGTTGCCGTGGTAACGACGGAATCTTCTTCTGGTTTATTGTTGTTATAATAAAAATGATTATTATTACTATTAAACAAAAAGCATTTAAAATACAGTCAGTAGCCATCGTCATTCCGATGTGGGGGGAGTGGTTTTCACCATCATTATCATCATTATATATTTTTTAAATGACTAATATTACCCCTTTATTGATCAAATAGGAATATAATTGTCTTTTAAATAACGTAAACTAAAGGGAACAATCTATTTGACACAGCTGAAGCTCTGGCCTTCCTTAAAAACTAACTCATTTAATAAAAATCACAGTTGTATTACACACAATGCACGTTTTTTGAGAACACAAATTTGGTAAATAATGCACCATAATACATTCTGACGAAAAATAAAAATTATTATGAATACAAATAAAATAAAAGAAGCCTCCCGTGAGTTACTACAAGCTATAAAGTAGATTTTAAAAACGTTTTATAGACTAAAAAGCCCACTGCTGGACGTTGTAGAAATGCGTGTGTGCACCACGACAAAGGAGCCTCATTCACTTTACATTGGCGTTGTTTGCGTGGTGCAGACACGTAAATGTAACAAAGTTCGTGACTCCACCACGCAATGCAGTGTTAAGCAGTCGTGGTGGAGTCACGCATTCTGGTGAGATCAGGTTGGAGTTGACCGCAGTGCAGAATCGCTGTATAGTTGAAATCTCCTAACAATGTTGTCCATTTTAGACATAGGCCTATTATATTTACAGCCCTTTATAACATTCATTTTCTGGGCTCAAAGTGTGTCTTGGCCGTTTTCATTGTGATCGCTAAATTCCCCTTGTTTATAATAATCACAGTTCCTTCAACAGGATACTGTAGTGATTCAAAGTGTGATTTTAGCATAGCCTACGAGTGCTTTTGTTTTGAAATCACTTCCGTGAGTTTCGTCTGCGCTCTTATTTTGTAAGGTAACTGTAGCAGAATATGAAAAAACGAATATGAAAAAACGGGGGGGTTTTTTGTTTCTGTTTTCTAGTGATTTTATTTTTTGTTTTGAGAAGTAGAAAATGAAAATCATCCCGTTTTTTAAGTTTAGTAAATCCCTTTTTGACCGTGATAAAGAAAAACGCCTTGTATTTCAATTTTGGTTTTTCAATTTGAAAACGAAAATCAAATATCCAGTCGTTTTTTGTTTTTGAATTTCCATTTGTGAAAAGAAAATCCAATGACCAAAACATACACTGACCCGGTACGCATTGTTAGGGGCATTGATTGTTTTTCTATATGTCGTTATACAACATAACCAACAATGGCGACAACACTTCCAGAAAGCATTTATAAAATTCAATACTAAAGCCATCGCACCCAGGGGTCTTACCCGATGTAAGAGATTTTATGGCAGACGCTATTTCGTTTGGCGTGACAGAAGATTCCAACTCGTGTTTCTGAGTAGGATTTAGTACAGGAAGTGTAACATTCTTAAAAAAAAGTATCCAGGCTATGGACTTGTGCTGTGCACTCAGTTTGATATAAATTGGAGTAAAATGTTTGGAATTCGCGGTTTATTAGCTTGGGATCATTTATAATATTACCTCCAGAGTCTCTTATAGCTGGAATTGATGACTTTCTCAGTCTGAAGTGGAATGACTCTTTGATTATGGACAGTTCCCATTAAACAATAATCAAAATATAGATGGACAATAGATCTAATTTGAGATTTTAAACAACATACATTTTAAATTGTGCTTCAGAAAGTCATGTTATTTTTGGAGTGTTGTGAGATGGTGTCAACATCAATTGAAATTAGTCACCCAGTGGAAATGGACATTTTAATAATGTATTTAACGGTCAGATATGTCTTCATAACTGTATCCTCAAGTTTTACATTCACTCAGTTATAATGTGGTAGTTTTACGTAGTTTGTTTAAAATCATTATTGATCACATTATAGGCTACACATTTCTTAATTTAAGCTCCAGTATATATGAATATGTTTGGTATGTTTTTTAGGTATATTTGTTATTTACCGAGTAAGCGCTCATTTTTAATCACACACGTCTCCCCGTCCCGAAAATAATAAAACAAATGAAAAGAGGAAACAATTTGATATGTCTACCATTTATTTTACGAGTGTAATATTGTTAAGATCCATATGTCACGGATAGGATCATACTCTGTGCTAAATAAGAGACATGTAATCATTTACAAAACATCACCATGTTTTTATTTAACAAAATAATGTACAAAAAATCTGAATCTTATATTATGGTATATTTAACAAACTATGCCTATCTGCGGCCTATCTATGCCTATCTGCGGCGGAAACCAGGGCGAGGTGTTTCTGGATCCGTTTTTCGTGGGCTATGTAAAAGGTTCATAAAATAAAAACACAACACTGTCATTGCAAGTGACACTCAGATGACTTTTATGTTTTTATGTTCAGTGAAGTGTTTTATTATTTTCGGGACGGGGAGATGTGGGGAAACCAAACTAAGTCTTAGTTTGGCCACTCATTTTTAATCACACACGTCTCCCCATCCCATTCAAATTCAAATTATTGACGGGAAGAGCGGTGTAGCCTACATGTAAATGGGTGGCATAGCCTATATGCATTTGAAAAGAAATAGTACCCCCCTCTGAGTGACTATTGGCGCGTTTCCACTACACAGCCTCGCTCTGCCCTGCTCGGTATGGCTGGGCCTCGTTAGGACTGGCTCACTTTATGGCGCATTTCCATTACAGTTTAGGAACTGGGGTAGTATCTATAGTAACGCAGTGTAGGCGGAGCCGTGACGTGACCTTCAGAGAACCCCAGAAAAACAACACAGCCGTTAGCTGTTAGCTGTTAGCACTCAGAGCTCACAGCTCCTCATATATGTTCAGAAACTAGACAAAAGTTAAACAAGTACAAACCACAGACTGCCTGTGTCATGGTGAATACAGTCGCTGCTTTATTTATGTCTGTATAGGCCGTTGTTGTGAGTGTGGACGGTCGGAGCATATACTGCGTTAGCTTAGCCAATCTCCATCTAGAAAACACGCATTTTAAAAGGTTTTTCGCCTGCCGTCTGTCTGCAGACTTGTCAAAGCATTAATTCATGGTTTTTACTAACCGGTATCAGTATGTTGTTACTTCGGCATCATTTTGAAACGTGTATTACAATTAAATCACGGTCAAATATGTTCATCTTGTTGTAGTTGTAGCCCCCTTGCCAGCGATGCTCTCTCTAGTTTAGCATACTCAGCCCGACTCAGCCTCGTTGTCTCTGGCCCTAGACCCGCGATTTTATGAGGCCAGAAAAACTGTGAATTAGGACCCGCCGGCCGGTACTAGGCCAAGTGGAAACGCAACCAAAGACGGGCCGCTGAC